GGACAATGACGTATCTCCAACGAGGCGTTTTGGGGAGATATTTTCTGTTTTAGAGTTCTACTCGCTACAGGGTGGACTTTGAGGGTTTTGACTCTGCAGACCGTTTACATGCAGAAAAACCTTCATAACACACAAGGGGACGGGTAATAACCGGAAAAGCATGACATGTGACCTTTAAAATGTTAAAAAAATCTTCCCGGGGGGGCATACCTCCGGACCCCCCTAGAGGATGTGACGTCCACCCCCCATTCTATTGTGTATTCCTTGGATACTCTATTGATCTTTATCTTTTTTATTGTACGATTCTCTGGCTGGGGCGCCAACTCAAATCTCGCCTAGGGCTGCAAATTGTCTAGAGCCGGCCCTGGTGCCAGCAGAGTCAGTTTCTGCTCCCTTCAATCACAAGTGCATTTCAAATGATAGATCGGAAACATTCCTGTTGTCATCTTGCAATCTACTTATTTATATAAATAGTTATCAACGCAATAAACCGTCTTTAATTTTGTCTTAATTTAAATTGTTTTTTTCATATTCTGAAAAAAGTTAGAATTTTAAGATTTTCAGAAAAAAGTTGGAATTTTGAGATTTTTTAAGAGAAAAGATGAATTTTGAGATTTTTTAAGAGAAAAGATGAATTTTTAGATTTTTTAAGAGAAAAGATGAATTTTGAGATTCTCTGAAAAATTACGAGAATTTTCGGAAAAGTTGGAATTTTGAGATTTTCTGAAAATGTCCCTCATACTTATTTACATAAATAGCTATCACCAAAGTAAACTGTTTTTAATGTTGTCTCAAAGGTCCCGTGGGATGCTTCTCTGGTTCTGACCCGTCCCTTGTGTTCCGTAGCTTCTGCATGTAAACGTCTGAACTCGTTTGTTTTCACACTCGAGTGATTTTGAATTGGACATAAAGTCCGGCGGAAACAAAGAGCAGCTGTAGATCTCTGAGCTCGTTCAGAAACAGTTTCCTCACAGACAGCATCTCACTATCTGAGGAAAGATCTCTTTTCTCACATGTTGCATTCAGGGAAAGATATATTACAAGCAGTAATGATGAGTGTGAGATAAAGACTCGCTGAGTCCATCCCAGATTTACTGAAGAAGTGAATCACATTTCAGTTACAAAGAGGCTTCATTCAAATGTGATTATTACAGTATCCAAGCACCGACAGTACCCGCCATGTTGGAGTTTAACCCCGAGTTTCATTTAGACTCGGTTATTCATATGAACTGCTTTTGTGTCTATTTCTCTTCCATTACACGTCTTCTTTCAGACTAGTGCAAAGAGTCCTCCTCCAGTTCACCTCACTAAGCGCGTCTGCTGGTGTCAGATTACTTTCATAACACCTCATTAGCATATTTAAACATAACACTTCGTAAACTTGTTGTTTCCAAAAGGATTGTGTTAGTGTCAGTGATGAAGGGGGGAAGTTTCAAGGTGATATCTGTCAGTTATTACACGATTCACCTGCAGGGTGTCTCCGTCAAAATGAAGTGCACGCAGCAAACTGCAGTGAACGTAATGATGCAGGTGGACTGCTACTTTGGCAGGGGCTGCTCACAGGAGATGGTGCACAGGTACAGGTAGAGCTACAGGTAGAGGCTGCTCACAGGGGATGGTGCACAGGTACAGGTAGAGCTACAGGTAGAGCTACAGGTAGAGGCTGCTCACAGGGGATGGTGCACAGGTACAGGTAGAGCTACAGGTAGAGGCTGCTCACAGGGGATGGTGCACAGGTACAGGTAGAGCTACAGGTAGAGCTACAGGTAGAGGCTGCTCACAGGGGATGGTGCACAGGTACAGGTAGAAGTTACTCACAGGGGATGGTGCACAGGTACAGGCAGAGCTACAGGTAGATTACTACAGGTAGAGGCTGCTCACAGGTACAGGTAGAGCTACAGGTAGAGTTACTCACAGGGGATGGTGCGCAGGTACAGGTTGTCCCGGATCACCTGCTGCAGCTTGTGGTCCAGAGAGCCTTTCTGGAACTGCAGGCTGAGGTAGTGTTTCAGGTCAGAGTTCAGAACTTTACCTGTAGAGAGAGAGAGAGAGAGAGAGAGCACACCTGGTGAGAACAGGTCTACTGGTGACACACAGGTCCACTGGTAACACACAGGTCTACTGGTGACACACAGGTCTACTGGTAACACACAGGTCTACTGGTGACACACAGGTCTACTGGTGACACACAGGTCTACTGGTGACACACAGGTCTATTGGTAACACACAGGTCT